CCACAGGCACAATTTTGCACACATGTATCAAATCCAAAATGGAAAATCTGTAGATTAAGCATGCAGACCTCAAAAAAATCACTGCAAAACTGGCCACTGTGGACAATTGATAGCGATTTGAGAGACTGATTATGAGCCTGTTGTAGTTTAACTATATTGACTGGCACTCCTGTGGTAGTTGCTTTATTAAGCATTGTGATTTTGATCATTAATTTCAGCATGAAATGGTTTTTACAGAGGCTTTTGTGCATTAGCCTAAGTGATTCTTCACTAAAGAGAGAAATCAGTATGTCAGTACGGTACTGGACATCTTTGAAGTTTGCAAAATTTAACTGCCCAGATGTTTCATGAAAGGCTTTCAATTCAGATATTATTTTCAGCCTGGCTGCCTACCAGAAAATAAATACCCTTCAATTTTTCATGGAGCCAGGAGAGTCTGAGGGAGTTTTCCTGCTCTTCCCTGCCCCCCTGCCTGGCTGCCGGTACCGAGGTGCCAGAGTGACACCGCGTGGCCAAGGGAGAGGCAACACAAACTTCCGCGATAACAAGAAAATGTAACTTTTACCCCAAATACACATCAGGACTTTACATGTCTTGTTGCAGCTCCTCAGAAATAATCTTTGGTACAGTTCCATTGTTTTTATTTTCATACATGTATATATTAAGCCCCAAATACTAAGAAAGAAAATAAAATTTGCTTAATTACGGATTTAGGGAAAAGTACCAGATTCATACCATGAGATTTTAAATTTAAAAAACCCCACGCTTTTCTGAAGTCTCTTAAATATTATTATAGTATTCATGATAATTTCTCTGACAACTTTTAAGAAATACTTTGTTCCTCATAGGAACACAAAATAATTTAAGCTTTCTTATCCATCTGCCAATTTTATGTGTTCTACACTCTTTGGGTTCATCTTTTTATCCTTTTGACTGTCACCAAAGGATGCTGAGTAGTTTTCCAGGAATTCAGTAGTTCCAGTACACCTCAGGAAGAGATTCTGAGCTGGGTGAGTTAATGAATAGAGGTTGTAATTCCTCATCCTCAGATGATAGTTTTAAAATACAAAACTATCAAGAAAAATCTAAGAGAAAGAGAGCCCCCCCTCCTTTCTTGGAGCCAGTGAGTTAATGGATATTTCAGAAACATATCTGGGTTGTGGGGGTAAAAATTGATAGGTCTCAGGCACATTTGTAATACAAAATGTTACATGATCAGAGCCCAAATCAAACACAGTCCAGCAAACAGCTGTGAAATATGTACACTCCTGTCCACAGTTTACATGGCAAAGGGCTGAAGTGAAGCACAGAAAGTCAAGGACTGGCTTGCTCTGAGTGAGTTCTGAGATCACACAAGAAAGGCTGAGATCCTGTGGGTGCTCAGGAGGGGCACCAAAAGTCCCAGTCATAAAGAAGTTCATCTGTGATGCCTCTTATGGTAATAGATGAGATAAGAGGAGAAAAATAGCACTGAAGGGTAACTGGAAATGGCCATGAGGACTGTTGATGATAAAGGCACAAAATCTCTCCTTTTTTATACAAAAAACCCCACCTGCTTCTGAAAGACCAGCAATTGGCAGGAAAAGTGATGGGTAATGTGTCTTGTACAAGGAAAAGCAGAAGATGGAGAGCAAATGAAAAGGAGGGAAGGTGTTGTAGCACCGCTGGGTGAGAAGGGCCCATGGGCCTTGCTCAGCAAGCCCAAGCTGTCATGGAAATACCACGTTCCTCAGGCCCAAGGGCCCATGCTGGAAATTACCCAGATCCCTGGGTTTGGCTCTCAGTCAACCACTTGGCCTTGCATTTGGCCAGGTATTTTGTAAGTTGCATGCAGGCTTTTTTAATAATTCAATTGGTTGTCACTTAAAACACTTGGGGAAAAATATTTTTTTTTAAAAGTCCCCTCCCAACAGTCTAATCTAAACCCTTCAGAGGTCAGCAGAAAGGTTTTCTTTAAATTCAAGGAACTGAATATAACTATTGCTATAAAGCCACTAATTATTCCCCAGGGCATAATGCCTGTCACTTCAGCAATTTGGAGAGACCAGCTCTCACCTCCAATTCTTCCATTAAAGGCAGCCAGCCACCTGTACTGGAGATACATGTTTGAGATCACTCAATTAATCTGTTAGCAGCAGCATCAATAGCCTGCTATTGATTCAAACACAACAAGAATTTATTGAAATAGCCAGGCAGAAGTAAAATATGCCCAACAACAGAGAACACCCAGTACCCTGCTGACATTTACACATGAGGAGACAATGCTTTATAGAGAAATACAGTGGGAACAAAATCAAAAGCCATTACTTGGAATGAGCCATTGATGCAGCAGATGTAAACCAGAACAGCTGGTGGTCAGAGCAATGGGAAATTCTGAGATTGCTCCATAAATTGATGCAGCTTGTCAGAAATAAGGCAAGGAGCTTGGTGGAGAAGAAATAGTCAGGCTTAATGAAAGTAGGGCCTGCAGATCAGTGTTTTCTTATTCCCACTCAGTCTTTAGAAACCCAATATAAAATAAAATCAAACAGAGGCAGTGGTAGTGCTGTGCCTTTGTGCAAGTCTGTGGGCACCAAGAAGGAAATACTGCTGGTCAAACCTGGCTGTTCAGAAGTAACCCAGATACCAACATGGGAACATTGGGAAGTTCCCAGTCATTTGCTGCTTTAAGGTAATTTTAAGTGTAGCAAATGCAATTGGACTGACTAAGTGTCTTCTTTCTGACTCAGCAAGTGCATTTCCCATGGTTTCTGGACCAATATAAAATTTACACCTACCACACACTTCAGCCTGCTAGCACTCAGCAACTTAAAAAACCCAACCCACTGCCAAAACCCCAATTTGATCCTGTGTAAAATCCTATTCTCATACACACAAAAGTTTTTCACCTACATTACTTTTTAATGGTATGAAGGACAAGCAAGTGAAGTCAAACACCAAATTAAGTTTATCACTTTCAGCTGGGGTTTACTTGTGCTCTAGTAGAAAACAAGATATACTGAGCAGCCATAGTACCAAAAGCAATACCAATGCAACATTGCATTATAGAACTTCATTTTAGACAGGAGCACGTTGCTTTTAAATAAAGTAGTCAAATCCCCAGTTCTTACAACACTCAACAGCTATCAGTAAATAGATCTGCTGATCACCCACAGGGGGTTAAATTCCCAAAGTACAGAGCATGCCCAGTTTTCACTGGAATAAAACTGTTAGGTGGCCAAAGCTTGAAGATCACAAACCTTCCACATGCTAGGACAGGCAGCAGACAGTTGGCAAGAGCAGGTGATGTTATTTTCAGTAAGGGAAGTGATTTGGCTCACTGGTGATTTTCCTCATTGGTGACAGTGGAGCCGTGCCAGTGAGTCAGGTGTCTCAGTGACACTCAGCACCTGATCTCACTGGAGCACAGATACAGTCTTGTGTTCCCCTGGCCCTCCCCTTTCCAGGAGCACTATAAAAGCTCCTTCAGAGCTGCAGTGATGTCACAGCAGCTGTTACAGTGCCTGGCCAAACAAGAAAGATTGCAGACTTGAAGTTATTGTTTGAAAAGCTCACTTTGGAAATTTTAGTACTTAAGTTGTTAGTTAAGATAGGCTAAAGCATTGCCTGTATCACATTAAGCTGAGACAGACACCAGGTACTTACAAAACAAAAATAAGGCTTTACCAGTACTGCAACAAAATATTTAGCTTGCCCAGCTGAAGTTTTTTTCCACACAGAGTCTGGTCTATCCCCTAGCTTCTGATTTTTTAATGCAGTTACTGGCAGGTTCCCCTTTTTCTACACTAAGGTAACCAATTAGCAGCAACAATTACAAACCTCTTGGCCTGAAAAGCCTGTATCAAGTTACTGCATGCAAATGGAGACAAATTAGGTCCCACTTTGTCTTGAAACTGCATCCTTTCACTGGTGTTAACAGAAAGGAACCAGCCATCACAATCTTCTCCCCTACTGCCTTCAATTAAGTAACTTACCTGTATGATTCAAAACTCCTCTCCTTCTCAGTGCTCTGCTATCAAATGATCCCATTAAGCCAAGTTTCCACTATTTGTGGAGATTAAGAAGCACATTACAGAGAACAGTGGTAACAGCCCAAATGGTATTTATCTCACCATGCTGCTTGTTAACAAAAGCTAAGTTAACACTTTCAGCTACTCGTGGACACAACAAACATGTGATGAACTGGATGGATGTCATCACCTCCACTGCTTTTAGTGTCCAGTCAGCAGCTGTAGGACAGGACTCGCACAAACCTCACTTCTTATAGAGTTCACATCAGTGTTTTCAGACACTTGATTTAGAAATCTAAATACTTTCAATACTATTCCCCACTGTGCTGCAAGCCTTGGCCCCAGCCAGCAAAGAAAGGAGCAGAACAGTGCCTAAGATGTAAACCCCACCCCTGCTGATGTGTCTGAAGGTCAACAATGAAGGTAGGAATTGGAAACTAACACACAATCCAGTATTAGTACACACCTTTAAACTTTATTTGAACTTTTAACAATATTCTCACCTGTTCAATTAAACACCAGGGAGCTTAAAAAAGCTTCTGCTTTAATTATGAAATGTCTGGAGCCATGTGGCTTCTCAGTTTGTGATTACAATTACTAGGAGTTCACAACAGCCAACATCTTGGTAAATTCTTGGGCTTCCAAGACAATAACAAAAACATAGAGCAAGGGAATTATCTCAAATAATGATTTGCAGCTGCCTTGAAAAACTCAAAATCAGTTTGGCCATCCACACTTTTGTAAGTTGCTGTTCTTCAGCATCTCTCAGTGTCCTTTGGCACGTTAATTGCCATGCTCAAGTAAAACTCTTAACTGACACAACACTGAAACAACTCAAACTCGAGAATTTCCTATCATATCAGGAACAACCATTTCAAAGTTTGGGTTAGCACCTCTTTTAGCCAAGTGGCACCTTTCCAGTGCATTCCAAAGAAAACAAGTGTCCTTCTGTAGAGCAGCTGTGGCCTGGAAATAAGTTCAGTCCTTCACTGGGGTTAAAGCTTTATTTATAGAAAGGTGACTGCATTAATTGCAGCAGTATTTGCATTGGATTTGAACTCAGCACTAACAGGTTAATATTTACATTTAGGTAACACTTAAACCAAAACAAACGGAATACAGCCAATCTTAAGAGCAGAAAGACAGACATACAAATGACAGACTGAAGAGTAAAAGTAATCACAGTTATTTCACTCTGGATGATTTAGTCTGAAGGCCTATTTCTTAATCAGATTAGCAGGAAGAGTGGATTTGTCCAAATCATCAAAATATGGATGGTTCAGGGCCATTTTGCCAGAAATCCTTTTTGCAGGATCATAAATTAACATTTTCTGGAAGAAAAAAACAAAACCACATTTATTTCCTCATAAAATGGGAGCTAAAATCATGTTAAATACATAGATATTTCACCATAATATTGATAAATAACTACAAAGACATTTTCCCCCTTTGTTCTGTGCTCTCCTAGTTGGAGAGGTTATTTCCCCTACAAGTCAGTAGCAGTATCTCAGAAGATGAAGAATCCTCTGTTCAAAAACCAAGTACCACATCCACTGAACTAAATCCAGAACCAGGCAACCAAGCAGCAATAATTGTCTCAGCTTCTTACTGTGGGAAATAATTAAGCTTTAGGCTGGTAAAGCCCTAAATGTTTGCAAGGACAAGTGGTCTGACATTTGTTTTGTTGCTGACATTGTGCTGATGTCAAATGGCTTCTGCTCAGGTTGGTGACTTCCCAATTAAATTAAGAGAATGCTCACTCAGTTTCAAAATCCAAATTGGAAAGTAGGTGACAAGCAGGTAGAACTGAAGAAAACAGTTAACACTTAAGTCTCTTTGCAATAAAATACTTCAATTGAATAGCTCAAAGGTGATGAGAGCAAAAAGAGGGAGTGTCACAGTCAAAATAACCTGAGGGTTATTTCTAAAACAGGAGGAAATTTGTATTCCTAGCTCATAGAAGGGGTCAAAACAGGAATGAAGCATTCAGCAGTTTTGTACTAGACCCAAAACAAGCAAAGTTTTTTTATTTCTCCTTACTAAAGGACAGACCATTTCAAATTCACGTAATCAGGATTCCACCAGCTGCCTCTCCCCTCTTTGCACAACAAATCTGTCTTCCAGAACAAAACTTAACCAGGCTTACTCTGCCCAGTATTCAGTCTTGACATTTAATTATCTTTACACTTTATTCTACAGGGAGACTTCCAGGTTGATTTAAACCACTGAATTTGCATTTATGTTCTCTGAACTTCTGCCAAATGCAATGTTGCCTTCTAGATTTAACCTTGCATGCCCAATTTTACCCTGTGGCAGGTTCCCATTACCTACACCTAGAACAGTGTCCTATAGTTAATTCTGATACCAAAAGTTCTCTCAAAATTGACTCAAAGAGGGGAATTTCTCTGAAGAGATGCTGTGACACTGAGACTACAGCACCACAACTGATGGAGCAAGTGAAAGAAATCTGTCTGAGCAGTCTGGAACATTAGTTTTCCCTGGCACCTACTGTCCTGATAATTCAAAGCTTTTGAGGACAGCCATCAAGTGCTTTGAAATGCTGGCCATAGAAGTCATTTAGCTTATGAAGGTCTTAAACTCAACACCTCACTCATGCAATTTGAATTACACATTTTTGTGTTAAGACATTTTTGAGTACCGCTCCTTTACATACATCTGCAAAAGTCTATAGAAAAAAAATTAACTATTGAAACATTTTCATTGATAAATCTGAGCTTGTGCTCTAGAACAAACTATTTAGTTTTGTTGCCTTTAGAGTTATATTATGGGTTTAAAAGGCTTAAAAGTGCTATAGGAAACTTAAAAGGATTCCAGTCAGGGATACCATTGTCACCAGACACTAATAGGAAACTAAAATGTTAACATTGTTTAAGGCAGAAGTGTACAAGACTTTAGAGAACTTAATATGCTTTGAGACTAGAATTATGTGAACACCATAAAGAATTAGTACTTTTTTTAAACTTTATTAGCAGCAGCCCCAACCACTGGTTTCACAGAGTGATGCCCAACCTAAGCTCAGATGAGCCCTTGGCAGGTCCTTTTCATGCAGCTGTTTCAACAAGATTCTCCTGCCTGTTCCTTTCATTTTAGTTTGTAAATACAATCAGCAATAATTCTGTTTCAAACTGATTTAATAAAGATGCTGTCAGGGGTTGTATCTCTTTAAGACAGCTGTGCTACAAGGTTCAGAGCTATCCAGGACAACTGCATGTTCAACAAATGCTCAGGCTGTCAGCGAGAACTGGGGCTCTGTCCCCCAAGAAAAACTGAGAAATTGTGATCATTTGAGCTTTTTGGGTAAGACTGCTTCATTCAGAGCATTCTGCCATATTACCAATATGGGTGATGAACTGCTCTGTGACTGCTCACAGCCATGAGCCAGGTACACAGCTACTGCTGTGCAAGGGGGTTCTGAAGTGTCAGCTTGCCTTGAGACACAGAGCACCCAACCCACATCCCCATCTCTAGGTCTGCACTGTACAAACGCAGCTTTAGAACAGCTAAGGTACATTATTATACCTCAGGACATGTAAGAGTACACCTAAGATGTGACCTAAATTAGCCCTCAGCGGCAGCACACGAGCTGGAGAGCACTAAATTGGAAAAGACTGATGAAGAGCTTGCCAATTAAAAGCCTGGTGTGGTGGTTTAACTGCCTGGCCACAGAACTAAAGGAAACTCACACTAGACACAAAAGACACCAATTAAAAGTTAATACACCACAGGCAAAAATATTTAGCTCCAAATTTAAGGGCAATTGAGACAGACACTACAGACAGACTTGAACTAAGTTTCTTTTCTCAGCTAATCAATACATTCAGCTGTTTCTATATCCTTGTTTATTCAGTTAAGACCATCATGAAAGTTTACCCAAGATGAGCCCACCAAGCTTAATTCACATGCTACCACAAAACAAACATTTCCAACTGGCTCAGCAGTCACACAGCCACATCACAACTGGTGCTGGCAGCAGAAAGGTGACAGCTACTTTATGGGCAGAAGCCTTCACTTAAACCTCTTTGTAAAGACTCATCCTCACTTTCAAGTTATACCTGGCTTATTATTATAAAAAAGCTGAGGCATAATTGCTTCAAGTGAAAAACAGTCTGGTATTACTTGTGAAAGGAATTAATGTCACACAAGGTGTGAGTTGTACAAGAATGAAGGCTCATGCCACTGCTGATAGCTTGAAGATCTCCATATTTTCCTTCCAGCTATGACTGATGAGTACAGCTTTGTGTATTCTGGAGTATTTCAAACAGCCCACTCAGGTTTCAATCAGCAGTTTAGGACAGACTACTTACAGCCAGCAGATCAAGTCCATCTTTATCCAAGTTTTTGACATGTGTTTCAAGGCTGACAGGCTTCCATTTTGGGAATGTGTTTTTATAGTCTTGCAGGGATTCCACCTCAGGCCATACCTCGTTGTTGGGGGTCCCTAAAGCTCTGTGCAAGCATAAGCAAAATGTTAAGCCATTTAGTCTGAAATCTGTTATGAGCTATTACACTTTTAATTATACACAACTGCTGTGTGGTACCACACAGGTAGCAAGGAGAGGTTCAGCCTTACATACCTGAAGATTCTGAAGATCTGGTCAATCTCTGAATCCCCATGGAAAAGTGGCTTTTTAGTTGCCAGCTCAGCAAATATGGTTCCTATGCTCCAGATATCTACAGGAGTAGAGTAACGAGCAGATCCCAGCAGCACTTCTGGAGACCTGTACCACAGTGTCACTACCTGTGGAACAAGGAAAGGTTAAGTTTGTGCAATCAGCTCCTTTAATTGACTGCAAGATCAATGGTTCATTTGTTATTAAGCAGCATTCACCGCTTTTTGCTAAAAATAGCCAGTACTATAAGTTTAGTGGAAGTGTAGTACTAGTTTCAAACTTCATTTGTAGACAAGCCACCTCCATTGCAGTAGCTTCTACTTCAAGAAAAGCAGCTGCCTGCACAACTTCCCTAAGAGCAGGAATCCTTTGGCACCCAGTCACAAAACCCCTCAAACCCAAGTGCTGGGCAAAGCAAAAATGCCTTTATTACACAGCAAGCAACAAGTTTGAGTCCATCTGACTCACTCTGAGTGGGATTTACAAAATGTTTTGGAACCTTAGCGTGAAACCACAGTCAAAGAACTGGAAAATTGTTTTGGAAAACAAAACATAACTTTTTCATAGTTTTGCTAGCTTATGGCTTGAAAAAACCTGAGAACACTGTTTCTTTTTAGCTGTTTCAGAATGAGTTCTTAGCAGGAAGCAAGTACACACTATCCAAACCACCAGAGGTATGTCCCAACTCACTTCATGTGTGTAGACCCGCACTGGGATTCCAAAGGCTCGGGCCAATCCAAAGTCTGCCAGTTTAATCACTCCCTTGTCATCTATCAGGAGGTTCTGAGGTTTCAAGTCCCTGTGCAGAACTCTTCTTGAGTGGCAGAAGACAATGCCTTGCAGAATTTGGTACAGATAACTCTAGAAAGGATGAGGTGGCAGGAAAGAAAGAAAGGAGTTACCTTTAGTACATGTCAGTGTCCTGCAACAAAAAGGTTCCCACAGCAGCAGGAAATGGAGATCCAAAGCACTGCAGATACTGAGTTAATAGCAATCAAAAAGCTACACAAATTAATTCTGAAGATTAGTTTAAGGCAGTTTAATCTCAGTAATTAAAAGATTTTCAAGTGGCATTTAAAAGCAAAACTCACATTCATCTTATTATCTACTGTTACTTATTTAACCTTTCATTTCTCCTCAAGGAGTTAATTATACTGAAAGTAAGAGCTGCTTGTGGTTTAGTAGGTCATCATTAAATTCCCTCTTAGGTTAAGAAATTGTCCTCATTACCTTGACACGTGAACGCTCCAGATACTGGCCAGATGGAATACTATCCAAATATTTCTTGAGATCCATGGAAAGGAATTCAAAGACAAGGTACAGTCTTGAATCCTGCATGAGAACATCCTGAAGACTAAAAATTGAGTATACAATTACTTCCACTGCAAAATACATGAACTCCCATTTCCTTTCTCAACAGGGATACAAGCTGATATTTCCACATTTCTATTGTGGAAGTCTTAAAATCTTCAAACAATACTTAGTGAGTTATAGTGTCACCTGGATAATCAAGTATATCTGAAATAGTGTCAAACTAAGGTAAGTCCATAAGGTTCCTCTTAAACTTATGTGCTCTCAAATCAGACACAGGAGTGTGAAGAAAAAATACTTTTGCCATTAAAAAGCCCCACCTGTGGGTGTTGGTGCCTAGCTTCTCTTGGAGGCTGGCCTGGCACAGCAGAGCCTGAATTACTGGGAACTTAAGGGAATATTTAATGGGAGTCCAACAGACACAGCAGGATTTACACACAATCTTAAATCTCCTTCATCCTTATTGGAGTGTAAGGGTTCCTAAACCCAAACATGCACTCATTGAGACACTACCTGGCTGGAACCTGGCCAGTTTTAAAGCACATTAAAAATCAAGTATTTTGCTGCATCAAAGATCAAGCAAATGTGTTGTGGGAAGACAATGGCTGCAATCATTTTTGCATGTCAGACAGTCACTGATGGAAGTTTCACCCATAGCTCAGGTGTGCCAGCTATGACATCATCAAAACACATCTAAATTCCTGCTACAGAACAGCAGGGAGAACATCACAACACTTGAGTGAAACAGTATTCCAAGGTGGTAAATAAACTCCTGAGTCTGCCTTAAGTAACAGCTACAGCCAGTTTAATGAGGTATGCTGCCTCCATTCTCACAATAATATTCCCACAATAACATTCTTTTCTCTGAAAAGAATTTACATAAATTTGTAAATTACAAAAAGTAGTAAGATTCCTAGAACAAAAAGAGGCAGCATGAGGAAGGCTTAATTAGAAAACGGGAATAAATATGGAGTTTAAAATATTTGCTGCAAAGCAGATACTGTATTAAGCAGAGAGGTTCTCACCTCACTAGAGGAGTGCAAAGTAAAAATCATTTAAGAAAAATAAGTTATGATCTGATGGGAGCTAGTGCCCTTCCACCAAGAGTTTAGCTAAATAGCAGTATATGCATACCAGACTATATTGGGATGATTCAGCTCTTTTAATAAAGAAATTTCTCGGATAGCAGTGCTTGGAACACCTTCCTCCTCACTTTCTAGGCGTATTTTCTTCATTGCAACCACCTGGCCTGTGGTTTTGTGACGACCTTTATACACAACACCATAGGTACCTGAACAAAAAGACAGTGAAACAAATATAGAAGTACCAGCCTCAGGTACAAATAAGTTATGGCAAACAGGAGCTGCTAACATAGGTAAAATCCTTACAAATGCAGTATTTGCTTAGATTACAGAGTACTACTTAGCTGTAGAGTTAAACTGAGCAATATTTTTGTTTGTTTAAAGAATGCCACCCATGAAGTGTAGCATTTGTTAGAACAGGTACTTAGAAGCCTAAGTGTGAAAGGTGAATATTTGGAAGATGTAGCTATAAAATCAGGTGCTATTCCAGTTTCAAGCTGATTAACTTTCAGGCAAGACCATTAGAAAGGATTATGATTTTGCCATTGATACATCATATTAAAATGCTAAAGGTTTAGCTGCAAACAGAAGTAGTGCTCCTTCTGCAGTCTGAGATCCAGCCACCCATGGGTGTGAGCTGCAGAAATACCTCTGGCTCAATGCTCAGTGCAGCAGAGAGCCTAGTGCTGTGGGTCTCAGCAGAAGCTGAAATTGGAGCCAAGAGCAAATCTCAAATCAATCCATCTTAATTATCAGTGCTCACAGAAGTAGAACCCTCAAACCAAGACACCATAAGCCTTCATGAAGCATTAATCCCTCACATGAAGCCCAAACTAGTTTATTTCAGAAAGATGCAGGCACAAGGCTTTGGTTACAAAGCCTTGTTACAAGATCCAAACACACCTTTTGCTATTGCCTCAGAGTGGGCAATCTCAGAGCAATGTACTTCAAACTTTCAATTTATAAAAAACAGAATTCTACAGTGATCACAGACTGGATTTCCAATAACAGGGGGTTGTGACCAACACCTGCATTGAAGCCATCTTCTTAGTGCCTCGACGTGAAGTAATTGCTAAAAAATCACTTCTCCACAGAGCTTTGCTATCTTGCTTTCCTGTGACACCTGCCCTGCCTGTATATAATCAGAGCAGAACAATCCAGAAAACACTACTCCCTACCAGCAGCTCCAAGGAAAACGACATTGCACAACCTCAGGGGCAACTGGTAAGTTTATATTCAGAGAAATGGGGGAGCTTCCTAAGCTGTAAGCTGCTTTCAGGACTCAGAAAATATTTTTTCTTCCATTTGGAAAAATGTTACAGCATTATCCATAAAATGAAGGCAGACACCTTCAATGCTGGTCAGTTGTTTTTAAAAAGACCATGTCACTTTCAAAAAAAGGGGCAGGCTGAAAGTTTTTACAGAAATACCTAACTACCACAGTAATTAAGGCACAGGCTTATTTAGCCACTTGGTGAATCTCAGCGTTTCCTGTAACAGGCAGAGTGCACAGATCTTCTGGGATGCTTTATAGCTCAAAATGTGGAGCATTTAAAAGCTCACTGTTCCCCATACTTACCTTCCCCAATCTTCTCTATTTTCGTGTAATCGTCCATTGTTGTGGTTATCCCTGAAACGGACAGGAAAAAAGAAACAGAAAATGAGAGTGAACAGTTGCTGTCCTGAACACAGACAAGTCACTGAACCTGTGCCAAGTCTTTAGAAGCGAGTAGTGCCTCACGTAATTAAGATGTAATGTGAAACACTTACTGTTCTCATCAACAGGGCCACTGAACATATTTATTCCGAATTCCAGCTAGGAAAACTACAAGGTACGAAAGGGCAATGACATCCAAGCAGAAAAAAAAAAATTTAAAAATCTTCGAAGAAAACTCTTCCAGGGGACTGAAAAACGTGCACCCTACTCATAATTTTTACCTAACTACTCGCTTAAGAGGAACGAGCTAGAAACGGATAAAAAAGTTAGCTAGAAACAGACAGGAATGCTCCTATGTAAAACTGCGGAACCGGGTGTGAGCCACGCCAGGGGACACGGGCCCAGGGTGTCACAGCACGGCGGGAGGCGACAGCCGGGACCGG